AGACAGGAAGTGGCTTTTCCCCCAACATGGCGCCAACCGGACGTGAGGAAAAGCAGAGACAGGAAGTGCCTTTTCCCCCAACATGGCGCCCACAGGAAGTGAGGGAAAAAGGCCGACAGGAAGTGAGGGATAAACACAGGCGGGGGGGCAGCAGGACAGGATTGCATTGGCCGCGCCGTTTGGAAGACTCGTTAAACATTAAAAATAATTTTAAAAATTAAAAATATTAAACATAAACACATTAACAATTAAATGCATATTAAAAATAAACACTCACCCACGGGGGCTGAGGCTGCAGAGAGAGATTGTTCATTTGAGGTCATTGTTCATGTGATACCAGATTTTTAAAAATTTATTTTATTTTTACTTAATTTTTTAAATTTTTAATTAATTAAAAAAAATTTTTTTTAATGAATTTTTAAAAATTTATAGTTAGTGACATTGTATCATGTGATACAGTTTTATAGGCGCTGAGATTCCCCAATGTCAATTTCTTTTTCCTCTTTTTTTTTAAATTATTTTTTCAATTTGTCATTAATTTTAAAATTTTTAATTAATTTTTTATTCTTAATTGATTTTTTAAATTTTTAATGAGTTTTTAAAATTTTTAATGAATATTTTATACACACTGGGATTCCCCAACGTCAATTTCTTCCTCTTTTTAAAATTAATTTTAAAAAATTTTTAATTTTTAACTAATTTTTTAAAAATTTTGAATTATTTTTTCTTTAAATTTTGAGTTAATATTTTAAAAATTTATCGCTAGGCATCGATACACAACGTTATGGAATCCGTCGACGCGGTATCGAGCAGGCAATATGTTAAAAAAAATCATGCAAGTTCAATTCTTGCAAGACGTCTGGGCCGAGACAGGTGCTTGTTGATCAAATAAATCCAGAAAATTACAAATAAAGAAAACTAGTTCACCACCCCGTCGTCGTCGTCGTGATTTACCAAAAAATCCAGCAAAAGAAAATTCAGAGATTTCCTGTAAAATTGAGATATTTCCGTATTTACCCAAAAATCCAGCAAAGGAAAATGGATTTATTTCCCGTATTTACCCAAAAATCCGGCAAAGGAAAATTCAGAGATTTCCCGTATTTACCCAAAAATCCAGCAAAGCAAAATTGAGACATTTCCCGTATTTACCCAAAAATCCGGCAAAGGAAAATGGAGATTTTCGTGTGTTTACCAGAAAAATCCCTCTCTCTCTCTCTCTCTTACCCATGGTTGGAGTCCGGCAGCAGGGAGTTTGCAGGTCCGCGGGTTCGAGGCCGGGGACGGGGACGTGAGCGAGCGATCCGGACCCCGGGCGGGCGTTTGCAGCTCTGGCTGCGCCGGGCGGGCGTTTGCAGGTCCGCGGGTTCGAGGCCGGGGTCCGGGCGGGAGTTTGCAGGTCGAGCCGGACCCCGGGCGGGCGGGAGTTTGCAGGTCCGCGGGTTCGCGTCCGGACTCCGGGCGGGCGTTTGCAGCTCTGGCTGCGCCGGGCGGGGGAGGAGGCTCTGCTTGCCAGGCGGGTCACGTGGCTCCTCCTTGCAGCCTCATTGTGCCCTGTGCCTTTGCTTTCAATTTCTGCCGTATTTTTCTTTTTTTCCTCCCCATGTTTACATCCTTTTTGCTTCTCAAAGAAGAATCGTCACGAGAAGCAAAGAATAATTAGCAAAGAATAATTGTCATGCAAAGCAAAGAATAATTAGCAAAGAATAATTGTCACGTCCATGCAGAAGCCGTAGGTCGCGGTTCAGAACTTGCACTCTTTTTTGTTTGTTTTTTCTCTCTTTTTGAACGTGCTGCTTGCACAACATCATTTCAACTAATTCTGCTACGTTATAAATTGTTACTGTCTTCGGCTTCATCTTCAGACCAGAAACTGCCTCCCCGTGGAACGGATGAACTTATTGCACAATGAGACGCTGCACTCTTATGTTTTGCAAGGGAAAAAAAAACAAAATCTCAACTGAATTCGATCGGTGGTAATGCAACAAGATGGAAAAATCCACCTTGGTGGGAGGAGCGGGTTTTGGGAAGGGAAGGGGGGGATCCAAGTGCCTGTAAAACTGCGTCTCATGATGCAATGTAATAAAAAAAAATACAAACAAACAAACAAGCAAACAAAAGCAAAGGGGGGAACAATGGCAGTCACAGAATGAGACGGCCCAGCAAATGCAAACAAGGTTTAAAAAAAAAAAAATTATTTGTTTTTTCTCCAATTTCCCTCCTCCGGCCGCTGGGAAACTTGAGGGTGTGCACAGACACAAGTGCAGGGACGCTTAAAAAAGAGAAAAAGAAAGAAAATCCAACGTGCGAGGCATTTTGAGAGTCACAGTTATACGAAGCTGCAAAGACAAAAGGAACAACAACAAAAAACAAATGCAACCCTCTTCCTTTCAGCATAAAAATCTGGCAGCCATTTGATGAGTGAAGCAAAGGATGCAAGCTTTCCCTCTCTTCTTCTAAGTCCAGTTTTCAACTTAAATGAATCAAATAATTTTTTTAAAAAAATAGGAAGGGTATATGGGTTCATACGTTACGGTGCGCAAAGCGGACCCAGACCTAAAAATTAAAAATGCTACACGGTCACAGCAAGCAAAACCCCAAGCAAAAACCCAAGCAAAAAAAACCCCAAGCAAAAACCCAAGCAAAAACCCAAGCAAAACCCCAAGCAAAAAAAAACCCAAGCAAAAACCCGAGCAAAAACCCAAGCAAAAAAAAACCCAAGCAAAAACCCGAGCAAAAACCCAAGCAAAAACCCGAGCAAAAACCCAAGCAAAAACCCGAGCAAAAACCCGAGCAAAAACCCAAGCAAAAACCCAAGCAAAAATGAATATAAATGGCGTGCCAGAATCGAAGTAAAATTAAGAGCAGAGCTAATTCATGCATCACATTTTACTGAGCAATAAAATCTAAATTATTTATGCTCAGTCATGAATAAAATGCAGCTTTCAATTTCAAAAACAAAAAAACAGGCTTGCACGGGGGAGGCCATTCGCCCCACGCAAAGCAACAAAAAAAAGGGAGCTACAGATGAGAGAACAGTGACGTCTTTCATGAATTCTTTCCGGAAACTTCTTTCTTGTAGCCAATTTGCTCCGTGCATAACATTCTCCATGATCATCTATTGTGCTCTGAATTCACACATGGAGAAATGGAACCGTTTTATCCTGAATGCTTTATTTTATTTTATATATATATATATTTTTTTGGTGCAATCCGCGGAAATTTGTTATTTAAACCTATTTAGCAGGATGGAGACCCAGAATGCTTTATTTTTTATTTTATTTTTCTTCTGCAATCCGCGGAAATTTGTTATTTAAACCCTGTCTAGCAGAATGGAGACCCAGAATGCTTTATTTTTTATTTATTTTTTTTTCTGCAACCCGCGGAAATTTGTTATTTCAACCCCGTCTAGCAGGATGGAGACCCAGATTCCTTGGAATCACAACTCTCCCATCTCCTGCAGCGTTGTGCCCAACTTGTGGGGGGAAACACCCAGGATTTTGGCTCCTGGGGACCAGGAGAGGCGTGCTGTGTCCTTGCTGCACCAGGCTCGTTTGCTAGAAGCTCTTTCTCACTTCTTCCCTCGGGCTCTTACGGAGGCGAGACGGAGCACGTGGGTGGCAGGACCGAAAACTGACCGAGGCCACGTGGATTTCAAAAACTATTTTTGAAATATTTTGAAATATATATATATATTATATTATAAAAATAATATAAAAATATAAAAGTTTTTTTTTTTTTTTTTGGCACCAAAAAATAAACTTGTCCTTTAATTCCATCTTCCCGTGAACTTTCGGAAGTAACCTTGCATTTTACCAAGGAGGAGCAGGCAACGCACCCGGCAAGGACTTCACTTATCTGAAACCGAGCACAGTGACCGGGCTTGCGGGTTCCAGCTCTGTGTCTCAGATCCAATAATAGAAATAGAAATAGAAATAATATGATCTAATATATAATATTTAATAATATATAAAATATAATACTTTATAAGAATATAAAAGGGCGATTTGCATCCCATCAGAGTAGCAGGTGGCCACCTACAGATGAAATTCTAGCCCATGGCTTATGTTATAAATAAAGTTTTGTTAGAAAAAACAAAAGGCAAACGCAACAAGGCAGTGTCTCTGGCAGAGACTTTTAATGAACACAACACTGTCGTGAGCGATTCCTCGCTAGGTGCAAAGTCTGACGCCTTTTCCGTGAGGCCGTGTCGGGGCAGAGACGAACGGGGGGCGGGAGATTCAAAGTGAAGGGAGGGATATTGGAAATAAAGGGAGGGATATTGAAAATGGAGGGAGGGATATTCCAAATGGAGGGAGGGATATTGAAAATGGAGGGAGGGATATTCAAAATGAAGGGAGGGATATTGAAAATGGAGGGTGGGATATTGACAATGGAGGGTGGGATATTGACAATGGAGGGTGGGATATTGAAAATGAAGGGAGGGATATTGGAAATGGAGGGTGGGATATTCAAAATGAAGGGAGGGATATTGAAAATGGAGGGTGGGATATTGAAAATGGAGGGAGGGATATTGAAAATGGAGGGTGGGATATTGAAAATGGAGGGAGGGATATTGAAAATGGAGGGTGGGATATTGAAAATGGAGGGAGGGATATTGAAAATGGAGGGAGGGATATTGAAAATGGAGGGAGGGATATTGAAAATGGAGGGTGGGATATTGAAAATGAAGGGAGGGATATTGGAAATGAAGGGTGGGATATTGGAAATGGAGGGTGGGATATTGAAAATGGAGGGAGGGATATTGAAAATGGAGGGTGGGATATTGAAAATGAAGGGAGGGATATTGGAAATGAAGGGTGGGATATTGGAAATGGAGGGTGGGATATTCAAAGTGAAGGGACGGATATTAAAAATGAAGGGAGGGATATTCCAAATGGAGGTGGGAGATTCAAAATGGAGGGAGGGATATTGAAAATGAAGGGAGGGATATTGGAAATGGAGGGAGGGATATTGAAAATGGAGGGGGGGATATTGGAAATGGAGGGTGGGAGATTCAGAACCTGAGCGGGATGACCGGCCAGTACTTGGGCCGCCTCCTGTCGCAGTGTTTGTCGAAGCCGAGCTGCACGGCGGCCTCCATGGCCTGGATCCTGGCGGCGGCCTCCCCGTACAGCAGCGCCATCTCAGCCCGGCGCCGTTCGCCAGGCCTCTGCGCCGGAGCCTCGGCCGAGCGGCGCGAGTAGTAGAGGTCGTGGTCGGCGTCCACGTAGTCGTCCAGCCGGGCCGCGTCCAGCTGCTGCTGCCGCCCTGGGGACAAAAGGTCAGAGTGCAAACGGAGTTAAAACCTGTGACTTGTCAAACTTGTGACTTGTCAAACTTGTGACTTGTGAAACTTCTGAGAAAAAAACCCTGGGACCCTGCACCCGCGTGGGAGACCCGGAAGAGGCTCCTGGCTCCTGGCTTCGGATCCTGGCGCAGCACTGGCCGTTGCGCTCACTTGGGGAGCGAATCATCGGCCGGAAGATCTTCCTCTCTGTCTCTCCTGCTCTCTGTCCATCTCTGCCTTTCCAATAAAAATAAATCTTGATAAAAACAAGTTTATCATGATACAAAAAAGACATTTTGAAATCCACGTATAGTTTTTCCGTTCGAAGATCCTCAATAAAAATAAATCTTGATAAAAACAAGTTTATCATGATACAAAAAAAAACATTTTGAAATCCACGTAAAAATAAATCTTGATAAAAATAAGCTTATCATGATACAAAAAAGACATTTTGAAATCCACGTAAAAAATAAATCTTTATAAAAATAAGTTTATCATGACACAAAAAAAGACATTTTGAAATCCACGTAAAAAATAAATCTTGATAAAAATCAGTTTATCATGATACAAAAAAAGACATTTTGAAATCCACGTATAGTTTTTCCGTTTGAAGATCCTCAATAAAAATAAATCTTGATAAAAACAAGTTTATCATGATACAAAAAAAGACATTTTGAAATCCACGTAAAAAATAAATCTTGATAAAAATCAGTTTATCATGATACAAAAAAAAACATTTTGAAATCCACGTATAGTTTTTCCATAACCCGTTTGAAGATCCTCAATAAAAATAATCTTTATAAAAATAAGTTTATCATGATACAAAAAAGACATTTTGAAATCCACGTATAGTTTTTCCGTTTGAAGATCCTCAATAAAAATAAATCTTGATAAAAATCAGTTTATCATGATACAAAAAAGACATTTTGAAATCCACGTAAAAAATAAATCTTTATAAAAATCAGTTTTTACCCGAGAGGGCGGAGACAGAGGGAACAGGCACGGGGGGCCCAGCACTTACGCCGCTCCGCTCGGTGCTTCTCCGTCGTGGCGAAGAACTGGCGCAGCTCCTCGGTGATCTCCATGTTGCTCAGGTCGCATTCCACCTCCTCCTCCTCCTCCTGCTCTTCCTCCTCCTCCTCCTCCTCCTCCTCCTCCTCCTCCTCCTCCTCCTGCTCTTCCTCCTCCTCCTCCTCCTCCTCCTCCTCCTCCTCCTCCTGCTCTTCCTCCTCCTCCTCCTCCTCCTCCTCCTGCTCTTCCTCCTCCTCCTCCTCCTGCTCTTCCTCCTCCTCCTCCTCCTCCTCCTCCTCCTCCTGCTCTTCCCACTGGGGCCTGGTGCTGCTGCAGGGAAGCTGCCCGCCCCTCGTGCAACAACGTGCATCGCTGCTGTGCGAGTCCTGCGAGGCCATTCGATGGTCAGGGAGCTGAGGGTACTCGGCGTAAGCACCCTGGGGAGGGTACTCGGCGTAAGCACCCCGGGGAGGGTACTCGGCGTAAGCACCCTGGGGAGGGTACTCGGCGTAAGCACCCCGGGGAGGGTACTCGGCGTAAGCACCCCGGGGAAGGTACTCGGCGTAAGCACCCTGGGGAGGGTACTCGGCGTAAGCACCCTGGGGCTGAAGCCCAGCAGCACAGTACCCCGGGGGGCCGAGGCGGGCCTGCAGCGCCTTCCCGTACGCGCGCCGGTGGCTCCGCACCCAAGCCGCGGCCTGGCGGTAATGGCGCCAGTACCGTGCGTAGGCCGGGTGAGAATCCCACGGACGAGGGGCATCTGACGCCGACGCCTAAAAAAAAACACAGTTTTTTAATTTACAAATATCCGCTCACCCTTACACATTTTTTATTGACAATTTTTAATTGACAAATATCTGCTCCCCGCAAACTAAAAACAGTTCATAGTCAACACAGTTTTTATTTACAATTTTTAATTGACAAATATCTGCTCCCCGCAAACTAAAAACAGTTCATAGTCAACACAGTTTTTATTTACAATTTTTAATTGACAAATATCTGCTCCCCGCAAACTAAAAACAGTTCATAGTCAACACAGTTTTTAATTTTCATTCTGGGTGAGAAATGGCTGCCCGGACTGCACAGCTGAAGGGATCAGGACTTCAAACACTAAGCTTTATTATTATTATTATTATTATTATTATTTTTTTTTTTTCTTATGAGTTAAAAAAAAAAAACTTACCTCTGCCGCCGCCATCTCTGATTGTGCAACTTTTTTTCTTATGAGTTTTTCTGCCGCCGCCACCTGCACTGCAGAGGTGGATGAACACGAGGGACCCCGGGTGCTCGGCTTAGTCTTCCTAATCACAGGATGAAGGGGCATCAGGACTTCAAACAACACTAAGGTTTATTATTATTATTATTATTATTATTTTACAGGACGAAGGGGGATCAGGGCTTCAAACACTGAGGTTTATTATTATTATTATTATTATTATTTTACAGGACGAAGGGGGATCAGGGCTTCAAACATTGAGGTTTATTATTATTATTATTATTATTATTTTACAGGACGAAGGGGGATCAGGGCTTCAAACACTGAGGTTTATTATTATTATTATTATTATTATTTTACAGGACGAAGGGGAATCAGGGCTTCAAACACTGAGGTTGATTATTATTATTATTATTATTATTATTATTATTATTATTATTATTTTTTGCCGCCGCCATCTCTGATTGTCCAAGTCCGAATGAGGCACGGAACGTAGTTTTGGGGTCAAAGGAACCTGGAACCTTCACATAAATACGTGTATAAAACAGGAACAGGATTCGCCAACTCTCAACTGAAATCAAACTAAGCCCCTTCAAGGCCTGGATAAAATACACCTTTCCGACAGTGTAGATACAACGTTACCTCAGCAGGCGGTGTAGATACAACGTTACCTCAGCCGGAGGATAAACTGTTGCTGCACTAAATACCTGAACACAAAGCGGAGTCTGTAGCTGCTGCACCTACTGCAATTAATTTAAAATTCATTTAAAATCAATTAATTTAATTAATTTACTTAAAATTAAATTAATTTAAAATTAATTAAGATAATTGTATTATCTCCCTGAGGTTCAGAGCTAACGAATCGATGATCTCTGTCTCTCTAAATGCACAAATGAGGAAGTAAATCTTTTCAAAAAAAGTTAAATCATGAACACTTACCTTGAAAAACTTGAGGCTTTGAAACTTCGGAAAATCAGACGCCGCAGATATTGAATTTCTACTTCGCTTAAACGCAGGATTGAAACAGCTCCGACCTTAAGAAAATATTTTGTCATCTCTATTGAGGGTCTTTGCACCATCTGTGTTACAGACTTAGATGTTAAACTGTCTCGTAATCTTTCATACGCTTTTTACATACGAGCAGCTTGCAAATCTGCTGAAGAGCCGACACGACCTCCTATAAACTTATCTAAAACCTGGTCCACGTGTATTTTGCCCTGCGCTAAATTGAGGACATCTGTATACAGGCAGGGAATATAAACCCGAAAAAAAAAAGGGCAGCAAATTAGTAATTAGTTTTATTAAAGGGCAGCAAAGACAGAGGTGTAGATTCATCTCACATGAGTTTTATATAATAACTTACAGCAAATTAGTCATTAGTTTTATATAATAACTTAAAGTCTTGCAACATGACTGCACGGATTCGAGTGCATCCCCTGGGTCTCCGTCGCATTTGCCGACGTCCTGAAAATTAACTTTTGACATTAAATATCAATAACCCTGAATCGGGAAGTATGACAGACAGGTTCAGGTTCAAGTACGTAATTAAAAAAAAAAGAATCATCACTGTGATTAAACGTCGCTGCAGAGCGAGTCTCGCTTTCACTTGCAACTGGGAAAAATCCAGCCTGGTGCAAAAAAGGTTGCATCAATATTACGAACACGCACGAGACGGCTGCAAAGCACGACGCTCTCTGGGCTGCTGTGTGGCCGCAAATGACTTGCTTGTGCCTCTGTTTCCGTGCATAATTTGGTGGGACGGTTGCTAAGCAACGCCGAGTGAAAAAACACCAGCAGAGTGTGCGAGCCGGGGAGGTTTTTTTTTTTTTTTTAAAAGATTTATTTTTATTATTTTTTTTATTGGAAAGGCGGATATACAGAGAGGAGAGACAGAGAGGAAGATCTTCCGTCCGATGATTCACTCCCTAAGTGAGCACAACAGCTGATGCTATGCCGATCCGAAGCCGGGAGCCAGGAGCCTCTTCTGGGTCTCCCACGCGGGTGCAGGGTCCCAAAGCTCTGGGCCGTCCTCGACTGCTTTCCCAGGCCACAAGCAGGGAGCTGGATGGGAAGTGGAACCACTGGGACACGAACTGGAGGTTACTTTTAAGATCCCGAAAATCCCATCAATACTACAATAAATAATGTTTATAACTGATCTGAGTTCATATTAACTAATCTCTCTGAAACTGATCAAGACGAGGTACGGAAAAGCCAGTCTGAAGGAACAGGCTTGCACGGAGCTTTGTCACGATGAGCTCAGCATGTCCCAGTATGATGATTCTTTACTTCTTGCTAGCATTTCCTTCCAGGAAAGGCCAGAGAAGAAACGTTTCAGGTTTGTGGGGCCACATATAACGCACGGGAGATCTCGCTGTGTGTGTAACACTTGCAACGAAAATAAATGTCTTTTAAAAAAATAGCAAGACATATTCTTGACACATTGGAAGTGCAAAAAAAAAAAAAAAAACAGATTGACCCACTCCCATTTAAATCATCAGCTTGGAAAGATTTCACTGGAAACAAAAGTCTTTCTTCAGATAAGTGCTGAGATGAGAAAAGCATAGGCATTTTTTTTGGAAAACATGTTTGTTTCACTTGAAAAGGAGAGGAGAGATTTTTTTTTTTTTTTTTTTTTTTTGCATCTGCAGATTCACTGCCCAAAATGCCCAGAAACAGGCGGGACGAGGTGAGGCTGACGCCCAGAGGCCTGGGAATTGGAAAACTGATCCTGCTCTTGTCGGAGCGGGTTACTTTCGTGCACACGGAGAGTCCAAAACGTCCAGGCTGCCCGGGGCCTGTGCAAAGCCAACATGCACCGTCCCTTTTGCAGCAACGCTTGCAGACATCACGCTGCTTAATCAATGCAACGGGAATGGTTATTAATGCAACGGGAATGGTTATTAATGCAACGGGAATGGTTATTAATGCAACGGGAATGGTTATTAATGCAACGGGAATGGTTATTAATGCAACGGGAATGGTTATTAATGCAACGGGAATGGTTATTAATGCAACGGGAATGGTTATTAATGCAACGGGAATGGTTATTAATGCAACGGGAATGGACGCGGAGCTCCAGATGGGTTTGCAACCGTCTGGTTTTCTCTCACTGCTCGTCCGCCGGGGAGCAGGGGCCTCCTCACGCTACCACAGTAACGTGGCTCCCAACAGGCCGGTGGGACGGAAAGGAAGGCGGTTGGCAACGCCAGGCAAGGCCAGGATCTGGTCCCCCCCGAAGCGGGAGTGCCGGGCACAATGGCAGCTCGGTCCCCGCCCGGCTGGGCACATCCAGCACACTGACCAGGCATTGTTTGTCTTCACTCACCCAAGGAAGGAACAAAAACGGGCTTGAGGTCATTGACTCAGCCCCCCCGGGCAAGACACGGCCTCCCGGTGAATGCTGCATTTTCCCAGAGTCTCCAGAAAAAAAAATGCTTTCATTCTTCAGCGAATCCCCCTCTATTCGGGAAAATATATTTTTAGAGGCACAAATCTCCAAGAGCAACGACGACAAAGAGTTTCAAGACTTAAAATGCGCCCCGCTCCCACCAAGCGACCGAACAGCCCACAGACGAACAGAGCCGTGTTGACGAGCAGTGCCATTTCACAGACACAGTTTAGATCCTGAATGTTTAAAACTACAGACGTACGGACGGTTTGTCACAGCAACCAAATTAAACAAACTGCCCTCAGAACCAACACATACTCCAATACCTAGACTTTCCTTTCCGTCTTATTTTCCCTTTTCCACCAGAATTCAGAATATTAAATACACGAATATTAAATATTAAATACAGAATATTAAATACACGAAAACCACCTGTACCTTGCTTTTCGCACAGTCGCGTGGAAAGCCAATCAGTAAAGGAGTTACTCTAGCTAAAGCCCGGAAAAATCAAACCTTTCCAGAAAACCGACACATACTCCATACCTAGACTTTCCTTTCCATCTTATTTCCCTTTCCCACCAGAATTCAGAATATTAAATATTAAACACACGAATATTAAATATTAAATACAGAATATTAAATACACGAAAACCACCTTGCTTTTTGCAGAGTCACGTGGAAAGCCGATCAGTAAAGGAGTTACTCTAGCTAAAACCCGGAAAAATCAAACCTTTCCAGCTGCAGAAAGCAGAAAGAAGGGGCTCTGCTGCAAGTGAAAGCCAAAATCAACGAAGGGAAGGGAACACACTGGCTCTCCTGTGCTCTCCCTTTGCTCTGGAGGAATTTTCTGCACAAGCAGGGCTAATCTTACTGGAGATGTTTTGCAATAACACAGACGTTGGCAGGAATGGCCTCAACTAAGATATTAATACACGGACCTTGCCGCTTTTAACAGTCACCACAGATCCAGGAGCAGAGAGAGTCGACAAAATGCGGATTTTCCTTTGCATCCTCACGGTTCGTCCCCCTTGTGGATGTTTCCGTAACAACTCTGGTCACAGAGGAGGAACAGCATAAGGGGAGAAGATGGAAAAGGATGTAACTTATAAGGCTCCTCCCTCCCTAGCAACGCCATTCCACCCACAGAAGGGCGTCGTGTGATTTGTCAAGGATGATGGATTTATCCGCAAGTTCTTGAACACCACAGGCTAACTGAAAATACTGCCACAGCTGAGGACTTTTCTTTCTTCACAAGAAAAAAAGATTAAATTTGTTCCACTGCAAGCCGACTGTTCACACAGCAACGCCTGCTGTGACCACAAACACTGCCTGCATGTTTTCATTACAGCGATTATTATTACTACAGCTATTTTATTACAGCTATTATTATTATCACAAAGTAGGAGCCCAATCATGACTAGTTTCAGCAGGTTAAGACCATTATTAGTATAATTCAGGATTCTTATTTCAAATTTTAATTCTGGGGCCCAGCGGCGTGGCCTAGCGGCTAAAGTCCTCGCCTTGCATGTGCCAGGATCCCATATGGGCGCCGGTTCGTATCCCGGCAGCCCCGCTTCCCTTCCAGCTCCCT